ATCGATTAAATCTTCAGCTTTTGATAGCTGTTAGAGTACCGTCATGTCTATCAAAGACCAGCGATCATTATGTTTCAAGGCATTTGCGCGGTCTTTGTGTAAGAAAAGCTGTCGTGAGATTTGGTCTGGCGTGCTTAAACTCTGTGGCTCACACATCAGTTTTTGTCTCAACGTCGAGGTACTAAATCATCAAGTCGCTTCTATATCTGCACAAGCTCCTTCTTACCTCCCCTTCCAACCCACGATGCCATAGACCGTTTTTCCGGACGAGGTTCTCCAAGTCTTGAGGGGACTCAAGGCCAACAAAGCTCATCGTCCCGATCGATTAACACCCCAAAAACGTGCACGGATCAGCTTGCAACACCCATTGCTGAAATGTTCACTACGGAGAGAGTCAAACGTCCAAGATGCCCAATACACCTCGATGCGAAAATGACCCGGTGGCCACTGCCACAACCGCAAAGGTGTGTATGTTTTTCGTACGTCTCCTTTCGGTTGGTTTGGAATCAGGGTTTTCGGCTAACTCCCCTAGGTGAACTACCAGTGATCCACCAACGCGGTTATAATCCTAGTAGGTCTGTCATTTATCCCGCTAGTCTGTGAATAAGTGTGATATTCCGCGCCAAACTAGATACCTCTGATGATTTCTTCTACCGTACCCTTATGTCTTCGCTATGTTTTAGCACACATGTGACGTACACGGAAAACCGATATGAACATATCTTGAAAGAAAAAAATAAACCTCGAAGTGGAATACAGCAATAGCGACAGATAATGGGAAAGAATGGTTGCCGGAAATCGATGACTGAAAAGACCAATGGTGTCATTTCATGGGTCAGTTATAAGCAGATTACTTAGAATGAGATATTTTCAACTCAGCAATCAACTAGGTGAATCCACCTAAAATTGCGCTGATGGAAAGTGGGGTCGGAGATAGGAGCATTCAGTATAAAACTGTGTGTGTGCATGATGGAATTTGATAGAAAATTTAAAATCCCTCAAAGGTAACACTAACAATGTACAGGATTGAAGGATTTCCTATGATAGTCTTCTCCCTTTTCCGTTCAACAGGATAAGGGTAAATGTCTTACTCGAAACCAATAAAATGACTCTACATTTACGCGACTGTGTGCCAAATGCATTGTTGCTCTTTAAGTAACTCTTTAAGCAAATTGATTTATGTTCAAATGATAGCAACAATGACGTCTGTAACACCTACTCAGTGTCAAATTAAACTACCACGAGAAGTTTGCAAACCACCTGTTTAGAGGCCTAGAGTCGATGATGAGTCTGCATCAGTATGAAAGTAACGATTCAATCCACCGCAAAAAACGAGAAGCGAATACCTTCTGCTCAACATTATCGTGTGTCGGATAAACTACGTTCCATGCTCGATTTTGGAGAGCAGAGGGCTCACTGGAATGCAACTTTTATCAATCTGCACGGGAGTAAAAGAACCGCATACTGGTTTAGTGGTCTCCTCAGAAATGAGCAAGATTGTCTCGGTGCTGAGAAACTACGTCGTACACAACAAACTCTCGCGGTCGTACTGCAGCAACGAAAAAGACTGTGGTACAGTTCAGTTCAGTTCAGTTTAAACAACCATTAAGCATGGTTTCCGTGTGGCGCTTTTGGTGGCTATCTTTCGGCTGCCCATTTGGATGAAGCAGTAGAAGACAGACGGGAAAGTTGAAAGTAGAATCGAAGAGAAAATTGAGAAGTTCAGTGAGCTAATGATGCAGAGAAATTGAGATGCACGAACGCCACTATTTACGACTCCCAGCTATATCACTCAGTGTCTCTAACCACTGGGTACGATCATCCCGAGGTCCTCATCCAAGGAGCCTAACAGGAACTAAGTAACCCAGACTCCTGGTTAGGGTTTTCATACCCTTATGCTAAGTCTTAGCTCGGCCACCCTTGGCTTGTGGTATAATGGACGGTTAATACATGTGCGCAGTATACATTCCAATTGGCAAAATCTACCCACTGGAATTCATTGTGAAAATGAACCATTCTCAAGGATAGCATAAAGATGTTATCTTGCTAAACCGTCTATTCCAATTAACCCGTAAAAAATACACATCATTGGTGTCGCTTTTAAACTGGCGAGCACAATCAAAGATGAAGGTGTGAGAGGCCATAAGGTATAACATTCACCACCAGTGTCAACTACTTTTCACTCACTTGGACATCGTGATTCAAGCAGCGGAAAATCTCTTTGATCTGATTCTTGAATCCCAAACTGAGCATCTCATCCGCTTCGTCCAGTACGAAAATTCGTATCGCCTCCGTGCGCAAATAACCCCGGTGTATGAGATCTAGTACACGACCCGGAGTACCGACCACAATTTGCTGTCCAGCTTGTAACCGTTCCATATCCCCAGAAACTTGAGTACCGCCAATACAGGCGTGACACGTGATATCCATGTAGTCACCCAAAGCCATAACAACCTATGATTGTGTCATACGGAGGAAGGGGGGGGGGTAAATGCAGTATGGNNNNATAAACCGGTGGATAAAGCAAGTATTTACGGAGAGGGTATTTTTTTCTTATAAAACATTTGCGCTGAAATGCAACCGATGTGCCTAGTGCGTTGAACAGCAGGAGGTAGCAGATCTATGGTCAAGAGAACATATTGTACGGTAATAGATAGCAGTAAGCGCGGAGTGAAGACCCGCATGCGATTTCGATAGATGACTATCAGTGTGGTACTTAGATGAACGACAGTAAACCTGACAACAACCATAACAATGCGCGTACAGGTGGAGGAGTGGCACACTTTTAGCCGTTTTACAAACAAATCTGACATCTTACGTACTCTCAAACATTAATTAATTAGTTAATAATTGCAACTCTTAAAAAACTGCTATATGCGGTAGTTAAAGGTAAACTACTGCTTGACAAGGTAGGTGATGCAGTGGTTTGGTTGCTGCCACCGATGTGCTTTGGACTCTATGGTCTGAGGTTCGAGCCCCATGGCCCAACTTTGGTGGTAGGCAGCTTTGTGGTTATCCGGTTCAATAACACAACCTAGCGGGGCCTTTTGGTTTACTATACCAAGTCCCGGGGCTTAGGATACCGGTTCCCATCATTGAATAGTAAAACATGGACCTTTTAAGAAAGGTTATTGTTCCCTGATTTCTTTGGTGCACAGTGTGGACTCAGACGCCCATGAAATAAGATGATTAGAAGAAAGTATAAAATAGCCCAAAGAATGTCATACAGTAATGAAAGCCTATCATACAGCTATGAAAAGCAGTGAGTTGCAAGCACAAACTACAAAACAGAGAAATGTGCGAGTGAACGGTTAAACAATGCGTTGTTGTATGTGGTGATCGAACCGACACTCTTACTGGCCAAAGGATAAGCAACAAGTCATGACATCACTCAGGTAGCACAAACGCAAAATCTGCCAACTGTATGCTGTTTTTGAATTTTCCAAAGTGCGCAAGGAGAAATAATACGAAAACCTACCGTCTGTATTTGTTTGGCCAATTCTCGCGTGGGTGCCAGGACTAAGGCCTGACAGCGTGGATCGGTTGTGGTGATCTGCTGAAGCATGGCAATACTGAATGTGGCCGTTTTCCCAGTACCTGACTGGGCTTGAGCGATCACGTTGCGACCCTCAATGGAAGGGAGGATGGCACGTTGTTGAATGGCTGAAGGTTTTTCAAAGCCATAGGCAAATATGCCTCGTAATAAGCCCTCCTTTAAATTCATACGATCAAATGAGTCGCATGAAAACTCATAATTACTGACAACCTCGTGATCACCTTCCATCTATAAGAGAATACAGGAAGATATGATAACAGTAAACTGAAGCACAATATTCCCGAAATTTTTGAGCATAATGACAATCTGGTTATCTCTGGATTAGTGGGCCATTAGTATTACAAATCATAATCTATACAACCTAATGGACATTTATTGCGAATCCAAAACCGTTCATTGCTCTCGGCTCGTTATTACTTTTGAGTTTCCTTAGCTCAAAGGATGACGTNGGATGACGTTACTGTTAGAAACCAGTCAGAGACAAGCAAAATACACCAATCCCGAATAGCTGTGATCACATCACGTTCACTGAAAAATGGTAAAAACAGATACATGTGTCTAAAAATACTTGGGATTTCACTAATTTGGCAGTGATTGCGTACTACGGACAGAAATGGTCGTACACTGAGTATGACAGAATCCCTAAAAAGCATCCGGTGTCATCGGTGAGAAACTTTCAAGGAGTGCATCTTCTTAAGCGTCAGATAAAAATTTCAACTGTCATCCTACGGTGAAGGTTTTCGTGAAGGTAACAGAGTGAGGTGTTAAGCGAAGAGTAGCTGGCTTATATGTTAGGAGACGAAACATACCAATCTAAAATTTCCCGAGAAGCGTATGAGGTAGTTCTGGGATACAATGGTCACAAAGGTCAGCTGATCGACTGGACAATTTGGATGGAGTGAACAATTTCACAGGATAGGCGTTAGGCNAACTTGTTGCTATTCGGTCCAACAGCAGGCCTAATTTAGCGGGGATCTTATATAGTTCGCTATGAAAGGTCCTCGGGCTTAGGATGCTGGTTCCCATGATTGAACAACAAGTCCTCACACCAGTGTGCTCAACAAAGAACGAATGCAATGTATATATATATATATATATATATATATATATATATCAAACTAAGTAGTATGTGAATGATTCTTCAATGGACTGGCTCTGAAAGAGCTGTCTATTCAATGATCACCCGGTGTTGCAAACAAGGTTATTGTGACGAAAATACTTTTCCTGGGTACAAGTGTTTGTATGAAATGGTAAAAGATTACTGGATACGCATGCCTGACGAGCGGCAAGAACCGCGCAACCGGTCGTGTGCTTCCGGGGAAATTTTGTCCAGTCATTCACATACTACTTATTATCAAATATATTTATCACTAATCAGTGGGATGCCTTGCGTTTACTATAGGAAGCATCGTGCTCTCTATTCAAGTTATAAATTGTGTATGGTGATACAACGTAAAAGACGATGGTCGATACGAATACACTTGAGAGAGTTATGAAACGGGTCAAAGTGCCAACCCATCATGAAGAAGTTGGTTACCGATAAGAGAAAGCGGTTTGCAAAAAAGAACAACAAATTTCAACGTCAAAGTTTATTTTATTATGGGAATTACTTACAAGCTCATGCTTCTCTTATCCCCTAGGTTATTTGCATAATTCAATAGTTTCTCGGCGAAAAGATGATAAAATGTCATATGTAGTTCCGGGTAGGAGATAACGCATACTATGGTCTTCAACTAATTTGCGCTTTTTGTTGTGTAGAAATATGAGATGTGCCAGCGTTTCATCAAGTCTCCGCTTGAAAGATTCAATAGTTGGTGCATAAACAACGCGAGATGGAAGGACGTTCTATGTATTGCACACTCGCTGCTAAAAAATGGACACCGGCATTCCAGTTGACAATTATTTGTGCGTGCATTAGAGTTTAGCTCACGTGGAATGGAGCGAACGCGCTAGTAATCCGGAGGTAAGTTGTCGTGTGTTTGGGAGTCTATCAGCGATAAACCTGCTAGCACGTATTGCGTATGTCCAGCTGTCGTCTACCGCAGCGCACTTTATTCACTGTAGCCGCTACGGGCGGGAGGAAACCACGTGGAAATCAATAGATGACGTGGAGACGAGGCATGAAGAAATGCACAGAGCCATTAGGTAGAGTAGGTGTCTCTCGCCTTCCAGGTCGGGGTCTGAAAGACTCCACAACCGAGTGGTTGGAGACATTGAAGGATATGGCAGCGAACTGACAGCAGTGGCGTTCTTGTTGTCATTTTTATCAGGCCCGAATGCTTGGAACGGTATGTATGCGAAGTTTAATTGTGTATTCTGTGTGCTGACCATAGAGGTTCACCTTCTTCTTCAAAATAGGTCCAATCCGTCCATTTTAAATACTAACACTAACCTTGTATGCACTGCGAGTTTGGCAGCGATCAGTGAAGTTCACTTCACTGTATTATGCTGTACGATGATGACGACAAGTCGGCAATTGGAATCAGTAACTTGAAAGTATGTCGCCTAAGGTAGATGTTGGACGACAACGAGAGCAACGGCCGGCATGGATGATTTGGGTTCTGCGGTATTTAATACACCAAAATCAAGTTTTCTCCAATATTGTACTGAACAGAATTGTTCTAATGTTCGTAATCTTTCGCCATAGGTGAGGAAGTTCCAGCCCTTTACCATATTTGTGGCAATCCGTTGTGGACGCTCCAGCACCTCACGATCACGTTGCAACCATGGACTTCAAGCTTGGATAGCGTACTCGATGTACGGTCGAGTGTACACTGATAGCAAGCGTAGAAACAATATTGATTCAATTCGACCAAAGACTCATCCAAGCAAGCCATTTTTCACATCAGCGAACGAAGCCTTGATATACTTGATCGGACAGGTCAAGTCCTTTTATATAATATATATATATATAACTGTATTCCAGATTTTGGCGTCGTCTGAAAAAAGTATTTTTTATGGCCCTAGCACATTCGGTGTATCATTTATGAATGCGAGGAAAAGTCGGGGACCAAGTACAGACCCCTGCAAAGCAACTCAGGTAACTTTGATGGAACCGGGAATCAGAAACACGAACTGATGTTGGAGGATCGCTCTAGTTCAACCAAACACGAAACCTCCAATGCCGTAATTGTAGAGCTTCGTAACGAAATTTGGTGGTTTTCCCGACCAAATGCTTTCGATAAGTTCAAATAAATCACATCCACTGCATTCCGATCGTTGGCCGTTTTGGTCCATTTATCTCGAACAAGAAAGGAGTTGGTGGAATAGGATCGCTTTGTCCTGAATCTATGTTGAGCAATCGAAAAAATGTTGTACCTTCCTAAGTGTTTCCCCAGGGAATCTATCACAACTGACTCCATGACTTTCGATAACAGTGGTTGTAGGGTTACAGGTCGGTAATCAGTGGGGGGGGGGCACCACAACAACCAACTTGTATATGGGTGGGGAATGGCGATTCCCCAAAGTTGTAATGATGATGTTGCCTAGCCTGGCTACAAAACGCCCGCGAACAACACTTCCAGCTCGGAGAACACACCAACAACAATAACTTCCAGTCTCCACGGTTGTGGGAGTGTTGTTTGGTCGAACATCCGTCGGAGTAGAATGCCTAGTGGTTCGGATATGTGATTCGACAAAAAGATAAGGAATTCCTGGTGTATAGTGCATACACCTGGGGTTGCATTTTCACAAAACCATTAGTTTTGCTTTGACGCTTTCAGTAGTAAATGTTACGTTGGTCAGCGAAGGATATGGAAAATGATACATCCAGTGAGAGAGCTGTATACATCCAAAATTGGGTGCAGCAAAGGTTTGGGACACTGAGTTATCAGCATTTCAGCTGCTTCCGCTGGAGTGGCTGCAACCCTCTCAGCGCACCTTAGCGCCGGGATATCAAACTTAACTTTCCAAAGTGAGTAAACGTGTTTATACAACAACTCAGGGTTGGAGATGAATCTCTGTTAATGACCCATGGTATACCAGCTTATCTTCATGAATCTACCTGGTGCAGCGGTTTCTCAGTATACGATAATTATTCCAAGTGACGACACTTGGAAGACATTCAGATAGATTCCTCAGAGAAATTCACTTCCTCTTGCGACTGCGAATAAGTAAATTTCGGATGCCAGATTTGGTAATTACTCCAGTCTTGGCTACTGATGCTGTCTGTGAGATTTTCGATAAATTTCTGCCAGAATACCAACGGATTGGGTTCTTCGCCATAAGAAACACACTGAGTGGAGAGCGCCAAGTTTTGCAAGCTTGTATAATCCTTAGATTCGTGCGTGTTATCTGGAGAACATCCTTGAACAGAAGCGTAACAAATATATTCGAGTGCAAGTACTGCATGAACGCTGAGTCTTAGCGGAGGAGTCCATATTGATAGATTTTACCAACAGCTTTTCGATTGTCAACACTAAATCCAGTACTGATGGTGACTGTTGGTCTCTGAACCGGGCGGCCCCCTTCACATGGTTGTACGGTGGATGCGAGTCAACCAGCCGTTTAAACTGATATTCGAATAATAGACGGACAGTCGTTGGTCTACTCACTCAATGGAAGTGAGTAAATCTTCATTTCAGAATGTGTGATATGGTTTGTAAAAGTTTCTCTGGCAATCTCCAGGAATGGTAGGGACGACAGACTACACCAAACAGTTATCGTACTGGGACAGTCGTAACCTACAGCAAAGTTTGTCAGGAGCCAAATCCGCAGGATTGATTACTTTCCATTGGAGATAGTAGCGAGCATAAAATAAAACCACCGCCACGTGTGGGGCAATTGCATCTTAGTAGAGACATATTTGGTAAAGAGAGTTTGTAATCAACAAGTGTAGCTGACAGCCACATTTCGGTAACAGCAATGATATCCCATTGGTCATATTGGAAACGCCACTTGAGTTCGGAAAATTTACCGAGGAGTCCTTACGCTTTGATGTAGCAAAAGGTTGGATACCGTCACCATAGAAATTCCATTGGTTGAGAAGTGGTATCTTTGCCGGTTACATCCTGGTCAGTTACCAATCGCTTTTTGAGGGGGTGCTCTGGTACTTTGATCTTCTGATGGGTGTTGATGGTATCTCAAACTGTGGCTGTTTAGGGATTTAGGACCTAGCAATGGTCTCAGGCAAACCTCGTTTGTTTTTCTCCTGCGACGAGTGCAAAACAGTGGTGGCTACTTCCGGAGCAACAAGAGCAACAATTGTTATCCTTGGTGAAAATGAAAGCCAACTGATTGGTGGTAAATACATTGTGAAATTCTAGTAAATTCTGTAAGAGTTGCCACTATTTGCAATCGTTCGGATTCCCTTGTATCATTTAGCTATGGGACTACATGGATGAGGACGACCGTCTCACTCTCAGGACTCCAAATACCTCACTATGGTCGGGAGTGGATGTCTCGCGCTCCGAAATGGCTATTCTTCCCGAACTCCTCCAGAAATACTCCCAAAGGAACAAGCCCCTCAAACAGCTGTTGAGGACGACCTACCTACTGCGCTCTCGTGATGGAGGTGATACCAATAAAGTGCGAAGCAAAGGTAAATACCCGGATCTTTCCACTGGGTTAACTGACCACTGGTATTCAGTCTAGGGGAGTTCGCTAAGCCCTGATTCCAAACTACCCATACTAAGCGTAAGAAGCTCATAGTTTCAGCAAGCCTCGGCACAATCGACCCAGTTTCCAAAGTTCACCTTTGGAGTGGACCACCGTAACGCTCACCGGCAAGTGCGCGGTTCAGTTTGGGTACCTTGTTTAGATGGCCACATCCGAAAGGCATATGAACTAATCAGCCTGTCACCGGTTCCCACGGGATCGTGGATCCTCTACTCCACCCATTGTTTTGTGGGTCAGGTTCTTTAACCAAAAGCTCCGGGTAGTGTCCCTAAGAAGATCCGTTACTCCGGCCTGGGCGACCAGATAGTACCACACCCATAATCTAACCATAGACTTATGCATTTACACATGTCTCAGACTCACACTTATGCAAAAAACTTCTCAAAATCTGCTTGTAACACTTTAACACGTCCCGGACACAACACTCCATTTTTCCACTGTACGTTATATCTTAAATGATTCCAATGATAGGTTTACGTTTTAGGTCGCCGCTATCCTCCTCAACATCAGTCTCACCAGTGCCATGCCACTCGGAGCCGGCCGTTTCATTCTCTCGACCTCACTCCGCGTTCAAAATGGCTTTGCTCAAAGTACCAACTTTAATGCGTGTAGGACAATAAGAAGGTTTGACCTGTATGCTCGAGAGTCTGGAGATCGGTGTTGCCTCTGGGAAACACCCATTCAGGATCCGATCTCAGTGATCTGATTGACGTATCCTTTCGATCCATAAAAGCGGTTCAACTGGGCATTTCCGGGGACCTTGTTGCATCAATGTCTGGTCAAACAGGCGTTGTCATTGCTAGGGCCGAGGCTGACCTGTTGGACTGGATACCGATAGACAGCCGACTATAAGCAATGAGACTCTGAGGCTCCGGTAAATTCAAGAAGCAAAAACTAAACGAACGGTTGTTCTTCGTAGTTTCTGCGTACGCTCCCACTGACTGCAGCCCGGATACATTGAAAGATGTCTTCCATCAAAGCCTGTATGAGATTCTTCGTAAAGCACCTAAGAGGGATATCGTGATTGTGGCCGGAGACCTAAACGTATGCGTTGGCCGTCTGTTGTCCGATGAGACCTATCGTGGTGGCCATCATGGCCTTGACAACTGTCGTTCACATATGGGGATAGACTGATTGGGGGTTCTCCACACAAAACTGAAAGTGGACAGCGCTTTGAAGTGGCAAGTTTCGCCCACTACTGAACATGGCTATTGTCCCCTTGACAATGTTCTCTAGAGGCGAATGAACCCATAAGCCGGCCATTGCCTCATCTGGAATAACATTATTGCCTTGTAGTTTGCACTTAGCTCGGCAGAGGATAAAGTGCACCCTAGAACAAGGCCTACTCTGGTCTGGGCGACCGAGTAGCGCAGCAGCCCACGACGCATATCAAAAAATGAACCAGTAACTTCCTCTCAACACCAAACTTGCATTCGCTGGCTTCTTTATTCACAGAAAAACGATTACACATCGCGTCCATCTTAATTCCCAATTTTTCCTCCGACTCATCGCCATCGCACATTTCCATGTCGATCGGAGTCTCCAGATGATTGTACTGACGGTTGTACCCCAGATAGAGATCCTGATTTTATCCTCTCGCGTCCTGTTTCGATTAGCGTCCAATTCTCGCCGAATTCTTCTCCACGAGCTAAAGCTCTTCGTCCTCGACACCCCTTCAAACTAGCCCCATCTAAAGTGCGTACTCTCATGCGAGNGCGAGAAGTCCAGGGCACGCGAAGTTTTTTCGAGGAAGGTAGTGGATGGAAAATGGTCAAGGGCAATCAAACTGAGACCTGGAATGAGGGCAGGAAAACCGTAACCAAGAAAATGGGTCACCTATGCACCGTTAGGCTCCCTAGATGGGGATCCGGATATCATGCTTCTGGAAGCCTCAGTATGGTCCAGGGTTGCTGCTGGTCAACCTTTCCCTGCACCTCACGAAATGCTCCCATTCGACCAAGCGTCTCAAACAGCTTTTGCTGAGGAAGTCCTACTCACCGCCTTTTCGTGGCGGAAGTGTTTTCCCACCATCCGGAGCTATAACCGAGTTGGTCGGCCACTGGTAGTTCACCTAAGAGCGTTGGCCAAAAACACTGATTGCAAACTTACCAGGAGGAGGTGTACGAACCACACCCACATCTTCCCGGTTGTGACAGTGGTCACCGACTCGATTGGACATCAGGGTGTATTGGACACATTGGACGTTTGACCCCGTCCAAAAGGCGTGTGATCCGATGAACTAGACACCGGCCCCAATGGATTCCGGTTTGTGCAGACAGCTCCGCGGCATTGCGGGTCAAGCTTTGGCTTACCGAAGGCTCCGGTTACGGATTCCTCAAGAAAATTCACCTGCCTTGGCTAGGGCAACCTGGCAGTTTTCAGTCCACATGCAAATTATGGAATGATTTTCTTTTTATAAAGTTTATAGTACCATGA